TCCTCCATCTTCCCACCTTTTCCTAATCTCTCTTGTTTCCAATGACTGCCCTCCATTCCAGTCAAACTGGCCTGCAGGCTCTTCCCCCGTGCCTAGCATTCCATCCCCCACCCCCACATCTGGAACACACTCCCCTTTCAACTCCCCCTCCACAGAACTCCTGGCTTCCGTGGAAGCATCTTCAGGGGGCATCTTCCTACGGGAGGCCTTTCCTACTTCCCTCCAGTTCAGGCTCTCACTCCTCTGTCTCTCTCCCTCCCTCCCCCCTCCTCTGTCTCTCTCTTTCTCTCTCCCCCTCCCTCCCCCTGTTATTTTGTTACTTAGTGATACTTTGTACATGCTTATGCACTCGCTGTTTACCCCAGTAGACTATAACCTCCTTGAGAGCAGAGCCAATCTGTTTTTTGACTTAGTATGCCAGCCTGGTACACTTGTGAACCTAATAAATGTTGGTTGGATGGAATGGAGTCTTCTAATTGCGAATTTGTTGGGGGGGGGGGATTTAAATCCATAGACACAGAAAACATTTATGAAGTGTTTACTGTGTGCTAGACATGTATTAAGTTAGAAACACAAGCGAGCAAGATAGTCTCTGCCCTCAAGCAGCTTATATACTAATGAGGAAAAACATACAAAGGAGGCACAGAAATTTTATCTTCCATTAAAAACTGTACACACCATATAAAAGACTGCTCCAATTATTAGCAATAAGAGGAATGGAAAACAAACAATTTGAAGGCTTCACCTAACAGCAAATTGCCAAAGACGACAGAAGATGGAAAGTCAGTGTTAGAGGGGTAGGGGAAAGACAGGCACACGAATACACTGTATTTTGGGGTGGGGGTACAATGAATGAAGTATATCTATCCAAAAGAGACTTTTATTGACATTTTTATTGTTTTTATATCTCCTGCATTTCCTCCAATGTTCCCTTTCCTCCTCCCAGAGAGCCATCCCTAATAATAAACAATTTTTCTAAATGATGAAGAGAAACTCAGCAAAAAGTCAACATATGGAAAAAAAAATCAGACTTTCTCTGCAATGTTCTACACCCATGAACCCCCACCTCAACAAAGGAGTAGAGGCAATGTCTTCTTCTCTCTCTTCTCTGGGGCCAGCCATACGTGTTCTTTATCATTCCACAACCTTCAATTTTGACGGTTTTGTGGCTGTTTTTCCTATTCCTGTTGTTGTTGTCATTCTGTCTTCCTGGTTCTGATGATTTCCCTCTGCATCAGTTCATATAAATCCTTCTATGCTTCTCCATTTTCATGGTTTCTTATAGCACAGCAATATTCCTTTATATTCACGCACCACAATTTGCTTAGCCACTCTCCAACTGATGGGCACCTACTTTGTTTCCCACAAAAAGGGCTGCTATAAATATTTGGGGTCTATGGAGCCTCTTTTTATCACTGACCCCCTTTGAGGTATATATGCCAAGCACACTGATACACTCACTGTTTGTGGAGCTGCAAATTGATCCAACCATTTTGGAAAGCAATTTGGATTTAAGCAAAGTGATGCTAGAGATGCCACTCCTAGGCATCTTTTCCAAGGGAGTTAGTGATAAAAAGAAAGGCTCCACAGACCCCAAAATATTTACAGCCAACCTTTTTGTGGTAGCAAAGAATTGGAGACAGAGTACACGTCCATCAACTGCAGAACGGCCGAGCAAATTCTGGCAGCTGATTATAATTACAGCACAGTACTATGCTGTAAGAACTTGAAAACGGAAGCCTGGGAAAATTTATATGAACAAGTGCAAAGCAAAGCAAGCAGAATCAGAAGATAACAGATAAACAATGAAGTCGTCATGGAAGAGAGGACAAGAGCAATATAAGAACCAAAAATTAACGCTGAGAATTGATGAGGCCAAAGCTGACCCCAAAGAGGAGAGATGCCAAGGGAGCTCCCTACCTTCTCTGCGGAGGCAAGGGGCTCCGGGTGGGGAACACGGGTGCCTCGCACTCAGTTCATGCCTTGACTAGTTTTACTGAGTTGTTGTGGTCTTTTTTCTTTTTTATTATAAGGGATGGCTTATACAGTGGGAAATAGAGGTGAGGTTAGAGAAATTAGATTAACTCATCGCAGTAGAATCAGCCCATCAAAATGCTTTTGGATCTCAACTGTATTATGCCTGCTGGCTAAAACTGAAAGCATACCGCTTTCGTGGTCATTCGAGGATGTGTTCAGAGTGGCAAAAGAAGGGAGCCGCCTGCCTCAGACATTGCCGGCTGGGGCTGAACAAAGCCGCAACATGCTGCCTCTCGTTTCGGCTTCACACTGTAAACACGTGTTTTTTTTGCCATCTGTCCAAGGCCATGGTTTGGGGTTTTGGGTTTGTGTTGTTGGTATTTTTGTGGGTTCTTTGGTTGGTGACTTTGCTGTTTAAAATAGTACTGCTTTGATCAGCCTGTGAAGTTACCTTGTCAGGAGAGGAAATGACTTTTCGGGAAGAAGGAAGCCCTGCTGGCCCTTTGGGATCAGCCTTTCTTTCTCTGAAGGTTCACTCATCATTCCTTGGATAACAGGTTCCAGCGAGTTGCCAGGAAGACTGTGTACTCTGCTGGGTTTTTTTCTGACAATTGGTCCGTCTGTCCCCCTCTGGCCTCTCCCGTGCCTTCTTGGTGGCTTGCTCCAGCCCTTCCGATGCCTACTTCATATCCTCCAACCCTGCGACAAGTCTCCACTCTTTTCCATCTTTCCAAAATCAGAGAGTGGCCTGGCAGTCACACGTACCAGTGTTTTCGGTACTAAGCAGAGACTTAAGTGAGTCTGGGCCTGGTAGCCTGATCTCCTTTGGGGCAGCTAGCCCCAGCCTCCTGGTCCCTGTCCAGAGCTGTATCTCCCCCAGTTCCCTCCTTCCCAAGTAGAGGAAGTTACTCTGCGGTGCTAATGCTCCACCTCGTGCCATCCAGCCATCCCTGGGTGGTTGGAGCTTCCATCAAAGCCATGTCCAAAGCCCAGGCTCCAAATCTTTCTTGACCTTTTTAAAACCTTTAGCCAATTCACACATCCCTTAGGGCTCTGCCAAGGTTAACATTTGTATTTCATCGGGTTCTGGCAATGTCGGAATTTAAGACTCTAATGGGGGGAGTTCTAGGTTCCGAATCAGCAGGGAAGGGCTTGTTGAGCCCCTCACAACATGCACTCGGTTAGCCCCCAGCAAGCAGGGACCACATTCCCGCAGTCTGGGGGATGCCCAGGGAGGACTCTCGTAACTCATTCACGGTACAGAGGGAGAGTGGTTTGGCCAGCCTCCCCAGGTTCAACAGAGAAGGGGCCCTGCCCAGCTACACCCAGAGTTCCACATGGGACCAGACAAAAAAGTACGCCAACAGCTGATAGCAGGGTGGAGGTGCAGGGTGCTGAGAGGGTCAGGCTGAGCTAGGCTGGGGAGCAGAGTGGGTGCTAATCATTATTTGCCAGTGATGGAGCCCTGCCCCACCCTCACCACCTGCCTGGGATTCCTGTGGGCTTGGGATCAGATGACACCCCCTCGGGCAGGGAACTGCAAGCCACTGGCTCACCCACTCCCACAAGTCTCCCTAGCGCTGTCCAACCAAACAAGAGTCCCTTGTTCTGTCCTCCTCTGGCCAGTCTCACACTTTCCAAGGGCATGCTCCAGGGTGCCATCACGAGCGGCCACAGGACCCTGCTTGGGGTATCCTTCCCCCCCAGCAACAGAGCATAGGGATCAGCTGCCATCACTCCGACTTGCCTCCTATCAACCCAACTCTGGGCACTAACCCAGAAGATGACACTGATACTCACTTCTTAGGCCCCTAATACGTGCCTGGCCACCTGTGCTTGCAACCTCAAGGAAGAATGAATCCCGAAACTTTGCTCAATCCCTCCAGTGTAGTCACGGAACACGACCACACGTGAGGCAGAGAACAATATACATCAGTGTCTAACAAACAGAAAGACTGTGGTGTAAGCATGGCTTGTAAGTTACAGAAAGGGGAAAAAAATCAACGTGGGCTGGAGTAAGTCAGGGAAGGCTTCCTGGAGGTAGTAGGAGTCAGAATGACATCACTTAGCCACCGGGACATTCCTCCTTCACCAGGGAACATAGAAAAGCAACCTCCTCTTTCCTCTTGCTGTCAATCACAGAATCATAGGTCTAGAGCTGGAAGGAAACACCCTAACTGACAGACAATGAGGAAGCCATAGACCAGAGAATGAATCGCTTAAAGTCATACCAGTGATGAGGGCCTTTGCTTCCAAGCCACCTGTTCACACAGTGAACAGAGCTGGGTGGGACCCCAAAGGGTCACAGGTCAAAGCTGTGCATAAACCTCTCTAGACAGTAACTTTGCCACTTTCTTTGAGATCAGTGAAGGATTCTTCATGGAAAGCAGGTTTTTTTCTTCACAGAACAGAAATCTTCTTTCTGCTTTGGCTCCTCCTAGGCACCTGGGCTAGCTGGCTCTCTGTATGCTCTCCCAAACACTCAGGTGTTTTCTCGTGCCTGGAATGTCGTGGTTAACACAGGAATGGCGCCTTTCCTCCTGCAGCCATTCCAGGGCTTCACCAGAAGCATCCCTGGGAGTCAAAAGCAGACAGCTGGTCTCCCACCCCCACCTACTCCAACACAGGAAACCCTGATCAACCATCCCTGGAAGCTGGCAGATGGCCCACCTCAGCAAGTGACTGATGACCCACATCCCGGGCCAGGCCCACGACCAGCCTCTGCTGGTACGTCCTTCTTTGATAGTCACTATGTTACTCTGTCTATACCCAGGTACTCGGGCACGGCAACTGAAACCTCAGCCCTGGGAGGAAGTCGCAGAAACCTTTCTCCCACATAACTAAGGAGTTGGGACACCAACATATTTGCCCAAGTCCCAAGACACTGACTCCAATGACCTGAGGGTTTCCAGTTTGGGTTGGTAGCTGACAAGAGCCATGTTCTTGAAAGAAGTGGCTGATTCCGGATCCAAGATCCACCCTCCCCACCCCCAATTCCTGTTCCACACAACTAAGACCAGATGTCAAGGCTGCTGACTTTATTAGTTTTAAAAAACTCTTTACAATGGCAGTGAATGTCCTTCTGCCAAAGTTATCCAAATGGCATAAAAGACCAAAAGTGGGGACTTAGGGGGTGAGGAAGCCACTCCAGAGACCCACCCAGGAAAGCTAATAACTATCGCCACTGTAATTTACGGGACAGGAGGCATGCTGAGGTGTGGACAGGGAGGCTTGAGTCACAATGATGTTGGACAGGGGAAGGTGTCCCAGGTGGGGGCGGCAGCAAAAATCTTTCCTTTTATTGGGAGGTGGGAAGGGGAGGGAGGGACGGGATTTCCCACTGGAGGGTGCTAAATGTGAAGACCCATGGGAGGGGACAAGGGGGGCCGGCCCCCAGGCACGGGGCTCACAAGAAGGCATCGCACCATTCTCGAAGGCAGCCAAAGCAATCCCGAGACTGCTTGGCATTAGCCCCACAGGTGTCTTTGAGCCACTCCCGGAAGAGATCTTCATCTTTTTTCAGCACCAGGAACTGGCCCAGAACCACATAGGCCTGTAAGAGAGACAGAGAAAGAGATGGGACGCAAGCTCTGTGTTCTGGTGGGACTCTTTCAATGTTCTCAACAGAGCCAAGGAGAGAGGGGCCAGTCAGAGACCAGGCTGGTGGCCTCTCCTAGGGGCACCCAGGAACAAGGGGCAGTCTAGTCCCACGTGAAATCCTAGGCACCTCCTTCCACCTCCCGGAGCGGTTCTGATCCCTTCCCGTTTAAAGGGCTGATCTCGGCATCCCGGGTGAGCTATCTGTGCCCTCCTCCTCTACTCGGCTGCGAGATGCCTTAATGTGGTCCAGTAACAATGGCTTTAAGGTTTGCAAAACGAGGAAACTGAGGCTCAAAAGACGAACGAATGGACACCCATCTCAAAGCCTCCCCCCACACACACGCCAGGGCCTCCTCAGAACCGTTCTTCGGGAGCTGCACGCTTGCACGCGCTGGTGCACACACTCGTGGTCCTGCAGCGGCGACCTCTGCCCTCAGTACGCCAGGGCGCACAGCCGCCGGCCGCGCTCCCTGGGCCTCAGTTTCCCCTTCTGTAACGCGAGGGCGCCGGACCTTGTCAAAGCCCTTGTCCTCGAGCTTCTTGCCCAGCACTTCTCCGATGCCCGCCAGGCTCCCCACGGGCTTCTCCCCCATGGGTTCGGCCACGAAGTCGCGGTGCTTCTGGGAGGTCGTCATGGCTCTTCACCACAGACCTAGGGGCGGACCACGGACAGGAGCCGCTAGCCTCCACCCCGCCCCGCTGGGAGAAGGATCCAGGGGCGGGGGCAGAGGCGGGAGCACCCAGGCCCGCGCAGGCCCCGCCCCCCCGCACGTGGTCGCCTTCCTGGGCCGCCGGCCCTAACCACGTGGCCCCGCCCCCTCACAGGCCCCGCCCCCTCGTGCCCCCGTCTGCCGCCCCCCCCCCCACGTTCCTTGGCTCGGGGGAGGGGGGGTCACCACACCCGCCCGGCCCTCCCTCGACTCGCCCCACCCCTGCCCACGACCCTGGCGCCCGCCAGCCGCGCGCGCGCCCACCGGCTCCGGCTCCAGCTTCAGTAACGGTCACACTCCCACCAACCAGCCTCTCCCGCCGCTACCTCAACCCCGCACGACGCGTGCCGGCTTCCGCTTCCAGGTTGTCAAAGTCGTTTCCGGGTCAAGGGCAATTTGAAGGGAGGCGGGAAGGAGGGAAGGAGGGGGAGAGGGGAGGGAGACGAGCAGTGACCATAGAGACGGGCGCATGCGCTCCTGCGGCGGAAGCGTGCCTCGGCACGGTTACCATGGAGATGGCGGGCGCTCCGCCATTCCTTCTCTATGGCCAGACCTCCGGCCGCGCTCCTCCCGGCGCGGGGCGTGGGGCGGAGGACGTGGGGCGGAGGGTGGTCCGCACTCGCGCGGCGTCTGCGGAGGGTGCCCACTCAGCCCACGACGGGGCCGGCGGCGGCGGAACTAAAGTGCCGGGGTCTGCGCTGCCTACCGGGGGAAGAGTTAGCCGGGGACGCCGAGCCCTCCCCACCCCTCACCTCCCCGGGGGAGCACCGGAAGCGCGGTCTCCGGAAGTCCTCGGCTTGGGCTGGCGCGGTCTGTCCGAGGCGGCGGCCAGCAGGAAGGTAAGTGGGAGAAGGGCCGATGGCGTCAATTCGAGTGGGCTCCGTGGAGGCGGCGGTGCTGGAGCCCAGGCCAGCCCGCCGTCTCCTGATTTTGGGCAGCGAGAGCTTCCATCGGTGGCCGGAGAAGGGCTCGCTCCCCCCACTCCACCCCCAGCAGTGTAGGGCCAGCGGGACCCAGGCCCTCATCACCTCTCCCCTCGACTACCCCAAAGGCACCCGGTTCACGCCCGTGCCTCAGCTTCCTCATTTGCAAAACGAGAGGCTGGGTTGGGGGAGGGGGCGTGTGTGTGTGTGTGTGTGTGTATATGTGTGTGACCCTGGCCCGGTCACTGACCTCTGTTGGGGGGGGGCTCCGTCTTGACCTCTGCAGCCCCAGACCCAGCATGTCTCAGGCCACCAAGCGGAAGCACGTGGTGCAGGAGGTGCTGGGGGAGCACATGGTGCCCTCGGACCAGCAGCAGATCGTGAGGGTGAGCCCCCCCCCGGCCCCACCCCACCCCCCCAGTCCTGTCCCCGTGCCCCTCCCCCCAACAACACGCTCTCTGTCTTGGGCAGGTCTTAGGGACCCCTGGCAACAACCTGCATGAGGTGGAGACCGCGCAGGGGCAGCGCTTCCTGGCCAGCATGCCCTCCAAGTACCGTAAGAACATCTGGATCAAGAGAGGTAAGGGCGGGCAGGAGCAGCCCGGGCCGCCTGGCCCCGAGTCTGGCTGCCGCCTCACTGGGGGCCTCTCCTGCAGGTGACTATCTCATCGTGGACCCCATCGAGGAGGGGGAGAAGGTGAAGGCCGAGATCTCCTTCGTGCTCTGCAAGGACCACGTCCGCTCCCTACAGAAGGAGGGTCTCTGGTAGGGGCTGCCTGGGTCCTGGGGGGAGGGGCCTACCTGGCCAGCTACCCCCACCCCCTGCTAATCCTTTCCTTTATTCAGGCCTGAAGCCTTCTCTGAGGTAGCCGAGAAACAGACCAACAGCAGGAACAGGTGAGGGCGTGGGAATCCCCCAGAGGAGAGCCCACCTATGTGCTGGGCTCCTCCCCTTCCGTTTACCAAACTAGAAAGGCAGACCGAATGTCCGCCAGGGGCCAGCACTGCCCTGTTGCCGAGCCTCCCTTTTTTCAGGCGTAAGTGGGAGGATGGTTCTTGAGCAGCACAGAGAAGCAAGCTGCTCCGACTTCTGCTTCCCCCACTTTGAAATCCAGAAGTGCTTAGGTTCTGGGGGTGGGGGGGTGTTCCGGGAGCCTCTCTCACTGATCATCCTCCTCCCTGCAGACCGCCTCAGCCAGAACTCCCAGGAGAAGCCCAGTCTTCGGGAGACAACAGTTCTGAAGACGATTCGGACCTCTTTGTCAACACGAATCGAATACAGTACCAGGAGAGCGAGGAGGAGAGTGAAGAAGAGGCCTGAGACTCCAACCTCCCTTCCAACTGGAAGCCTTGTCTACACCCTGACCCCACCTCCATGGACATAAATGGGGCTGCTCTGTGGATCCACCCCTGGCTGGGGATGAGGCAGGGCTCCCATCTGGACTCCTGCTCTTCTCTGTAAGAGGTTAAACCCCTGGAGGGTTGAGAGAGAGCCGTGGTTGACTTGTACCAGTGTGCCTAGTAAAGTAACTCTGACTTTGACATCTCGCTCCAGCGGAAAGGAGGGACCAAAAACATGGCTGGGTGGGGGCTGGCCATGGTGCTGACCAGCCACTGGGGGCATTTCAGAATGGGCCCCAGCAGAGGCAATACCTAATCCCATCCCCACCCCACAGGAGGAAATGAAATCATAATTTAAACAAGGGAGGAAAAAATAGGAGGGAACTTTATTTAATATTAAAGGACTGGGGAAATGGGATGTCTTCACTTTGTGATGGTGTTCCTGTGGAAAGAAGAGAGCGGAGATAAAGGAGGGAAGCAGACACAGGTGCCCCCTAGTCCCTGTATCTCTTCCCCCTCCCCCCCAAGGCCCCATCCCCTGCTCACGCGTTCATGCTCTTGCCGCTGCCACTGAGCACAATGTATGGGGTCTTCTGGGCTTTCTGTTTTTCTTGGAGCAAGGCCACTGTGCCCAGAGGGGTGTCGCTGGAGCTCATCTTCTTCAAGAGCTGTAGAAGGGGAACCCCTTGAGCTCAGCAGCCATAGTTTGCAAACCCTTGAAAGCCACCCCCACCCCCCCAGGCCTGCTTGGCCACTCACAGCTTCCTCATCAAGCTTCTTCATCCGCCGCTCAGTCTTCATTTTGCCTGAACCCTTTCCATGGAATCGGTGGGACAGTTGCCGGAAGGCCTGGGCAGAAAGGTCAGTCAGGGATTACTTGGAACAACACAGATCTGCACCAGATACTCGACAAATACAGCCATTTCTGCTTTGGGGAAGCGAAACCCTAGGCAGAGGAGTTGACTCAAAAAAGCAGTGTTAAGTCAAAAACCCTGGGAACATGGGAAAGCCTCTTTGGGCCTCCGTAGTGTGAACTGTAAGGAGGAGGCCTCTGAGGTGACTTTTGGATGAGAGGTTGGCTGGTAGTTTCAGGAAAAGAAGGGGAGATGGATGGGGAAGAAAAGGGAAAGGATGCTAGAAACTTGAGGTTGGGAGAATGAAATCCTAGTGACAGATGAGGGGACATAGAGCCCAACGGGCAGCTTGCCAAAAGAAATCTGGAGTAATGGGGGATGAGAGGCATTCTGCAGGGAATGGTCCTTTATACAGAGGACACACAACGTTCCATGTTAAAAGAGGAGCAGAGAGAGAGGGAGGAGGATGAGACGTCAAGCAAGGTTTAGAGTCTGAATGATGAAGACTTGATGGGAGAAAGAGAAGCCGGGGAAGGAGGCAAGTGCTGACCTTCAGAGTCAGGAGAGGCGGCCTCGGATACTTGGCTAAAATGAAGATGGCTGAAGTCCCCCAGTGGAGCCCTTGGCAAACCTCCAAGCACTCAATGCGTGCCACCTGAAGACTGGGTTACAGCTAGGAATGGGGTTCCCTCCAAGGAGGGCAGGGCCAGTACCTGAGGTAGCAACACCTGGTGAGAGTCTGGCCCCCTCGGAGACATCTTACTATCCATCCTGCTGGTCCCAGGCTTGAAGCATCCCAAGGATTCCCGCAGGGACAGAAGGGCAGCAGGGAGCCTCGCTAGACAATGGGATCCTTGTCAAGAAACGGGGGGTGGGGGGGGGGGATGGCGCCAGGCCAAAGGTCAGTGTTTACTGCGACTGACCTGAAGGCTTTGTGTTCCTGAGAAGACAACCTGCACTTCTGGGCCAGGCAAGGCCAGGGCTTCTGACTGAAGATGGCCTGTCCTCTTCTGTCTGCCAGACCAGGCGCTCCAGAGCCTGGCCGGTGGGGGCACACCATCTCACAGGAAAGACCAGGGTCTTGGGCACATATACACACAAGTGTATAAGGGTACATGGAGCCTGCCCAGATGGGTGCAGGACTATTGTGACCCTGTTGGGGAGCAGGAGAGGGAGGACTGGCAAGGGAGAGCACTGCGTGCTAGCCCCAACTAGGACAGCAAGAGCCAGGGATGGGAAATGACCATCCCAGCACATCTCTTGGAATCCTTGATGGCAGAAACAGTCATCAATCTGAGGCCTCCTTTAATGCTAACTTCTTCCACACGGAAGAAATAACTGACCAACAAGGAAGAACTGAGGGCTGAACCTTGGGAAGAAGTGGCCAGTCCATCCCATCCTTGAAGGATACCTGAGACACTAGATTTGGGAAAGGTGAGTTGGAAGGTCTTCTCCAGAGGTAGGCGAATTCACAAGAACCACATTATTGTGATAGCCAAAGAGAAAAACGCCAAGAAGGCTGAGGTGCACAGAACTCAAATGAGCAGCTGACTTTCATCAAATGTAGAGAAGATGGAAGGCAGGGGAGCAAGAAACTAACAGAAGAGGGGCACAGCCTTGAAGCGCAGCATCAGTGCTGACGAGAGCCAGGAGGGGGCTTTGGGGGGCTGGAACGGGAATAAGACAAAGATACGAGAAGGGAAAAGGGCACGGCTCAGAGGACTGGAAGACAGGAAGAAATCTGGGGAAGGAAGGACTACATAACACTTCATCTGCTTTTTCCTCTGGGAAGGGGAGTATTTGGACTAGGCAGAACAGAACAAAAATGAATTTTTCACCTGGCCCAGGAGAACTGCACCCCTCACCCCCACCCTACAGGACAGGCCAGGGAGCGCAACTGATTCCTGGCACAACTGTGCCAGGTGGGACATGATCACTAACAGCCAAAACGGCGTTATCAAGGTAGACTGGGCCGGGCCAGACCAGCCTGCTCTCCGTTCATGAGACACAGGCACTGTGGACTGTAAGATATCAGAGGCTGGCTACTTCAAAACTGGTTCGGGGCAGCTAGGTGGCGCAACAGATAAGAGCACCAGCCCTGGATTCAGGAGGACCTGAGTTCAAATCCGGCCTCAGACACATAACATTTACTAGCTGTGTGACCCTGGGCAAGTCACTTAATCCCCATGGCCCAACCAAAAAAAAAAACAGAAACAAAACAAGCAAAACTGGTTCAATGACCAGAAACAAAGTGGAGCCACTGACGGGTCCATGTCTGATGAGTGCCTCAGGGCGCTGGCCTTCAACATCTTCATCAGTGACTGGGCTGAAGGCCCAGAGGGCCTGCTCACTCCAACGGGCAGGTGAGACAAAGGTGAGGGAGACAGCTAATAAGCTGGATGACAGAACGGGGCCCCAAAGGCTCGAGCAGACCACGGCACTGGGCCCCACCTGAGGACGTTCATTCCTCAGACAGCTCATCTTCCAAGCCCAGCTTCAAAAGTACCTAACTGGGAGAGGCTGAGTCGGCCAGGTCTGAGAACCACGGGTCCTGAGCTCTGAGAGACCCTGAAGGCCGGTCACCTATGGCTTAAAGTAACATAGGGATCATGCAGATAGTCATGGGAGGAGGCAGGGTGGGTATTTAACCCAGATTTCTTAGACTTCCAGTGCCAGGCTGCCCGCCCCCAAAACACGGGACTTAAAAGAGCTGGGGGAGTGGGGCACGTTTAGTGCCATGTGAGCTCACCACGACTGACCGATGTGAAATGTCAGCAAGAAAAGCAAATGACTGCCTGGGCTGCACTGAGAAGCCCCAGTGCAGCCCAGGGTTTCAAGGGGCGGGCTCACTGCTGTCCTTGGCCCTGCCAGACAACCTCTGGAGGAATGTGGGTGCTTCCGGGCACAACATTATTAGGAAAACCCCGGTGGCAAGGGGACCAAAAACCACACCGTGCAAGGACGTCTTAGGAATCCCTGCCAACATCCATAAGGACCATACGAGGAGGGCTATATTTGTTCCGGGCCCCCAAAGGCAGAACCAGGAGCCGTGAGGAGAAGCTCAAGAACAGTGAGAGGCATGTAAAAGGGGAGCCAATCCCTCAGGAAGTAGGGCTCTGGGCTTGGATGCAGGCTCAGCCTGACCAGAGCACCGCCCCAAGGGGTCCCTGCTCCCCTACCTCCTTGGGCGTCAGCTTCCTCCCCGTCTCATCCACATACTCGATCTTGACATCGGGCTTGTAGCCGTCTTTCTCCTTGAAATCCTGCGTGAAGCCGCGATACTCTTCCCGCCGACTGTACTTGTCATCGATGGCCCTGTGGTGGACGGCACAAAGGCGGCCCCTCAGAAGACTGGCCCCCGCCCATCTGTGAAGGGCCAAAGCCCCGCCGCCAGGGGCTCCCTGCCCCACTCACATCTTGTCCTCGATGCAGTACACGGCAGAAGGCAGAGACTTGTTGGGGGCCTTCACTCGAGCCACCTTCTGCACCGTCGTCTCCAGTAACCCTGAGGAAGAGAACCTTCTCAGGAACGCCCCGACCCGGGCCCCCCTCCCTCGGATGTCCCGTGGGGCTCCCGAGCCTCCTCGGTTACCTTTGTTCTGACACAAGAGCAGGGCGGCGGCCAGCCCCCTGTTCACTATGGGCTCCTCGTCCAGAATGGTGGTAGAAGCAGCTGAGAACTAGGGCGAGTGGGAAGCAGGGCGCCTTTGTCAACAGTCAGCTCACCAGACTGCATTCCTCCCCGAACCCATGACCCTCTCTGCCTGTCCTCCCCGGCCCTTTCTCGCCTCCTCACATCCTGCTGCTGCTTCTCCTCATCCAAGTTGACGGTGCTCCAGCCAATATTCTCCTCGCCATCAGACTCTGAGCCACCGTTGGCAGATCTTTCCTCATCTCGCTCAAAGTCCTGGTGGGAAAAAACAGGCCACTGGCTACCCAGCGTCCAGCCCCGTTTTCCAGCGCCAGCTCCCGGCCAGGAGGGCACGACTCCGGCCCCCAGCCTTCCGTGCCTTGCCCCGTCCTAACAGGACCCACCATGAGCTCTTCTTGGTCCTCCCGGTTGCCGGCCAGGCCGTAAGTGGGGATCTCCCCCAGGGTGCGGCAGAACTCCGAGGTGGCGTTGAACACAATCGCCCCTTTCCGCTCAGGGTCTTCGTCCTCTTCCCGGCTCCGTCGTGTCTCCAGCTTCTTGACGATCTCAATCACCTATGGGGAGATGGGGGTGTTTAGCCTAGAGAGGAGAAGATCTCGAGCAGAAGGAAGGGTGCCGAGTGGAGAGAGAGCAGCACACCACACCCCGCCGGGGCCCTCCGATGCTCACCTTCTCCCCGCTGTCGCGGAGCTGCT